CAGTTTCTGACAGGAGAAACAGTTTCTGACAGATTCAGACAGTTGGTGACAGTTTGGATAGTCACTGTTCATCTTTCCTGGTGCCGGTCAAGTCCTCTTTGAACAAGCAATATCTGGAACATTTTTGGATTTGGGTCAAGTTCAAAAATTCCTGGCCACCAACGGTGTAATTTACACTCTGTGACCTCCCGGAATGGGGTTGCACTACTTTGCACTTCTTTAGGTTGAAAGGCATTCCGTAGCCAGAGCCCAGTTTCCCAGAGTTTGCAGGTCAGCCTGCAATCTATCTGAGTCTTCCGATGAGTTTATTGCTCTCCAAATCTTTACGTCGTCAGCGTAAAGAAGCGCAGAGCAGTTTAGTTGGGGGGCAGGTCGTTGATAAAAATCAAAAACATCAACGGCCCTAGGATAGAACCCTGAGGAACCCCTGATGCCGAGGTGTGCCAGGATGATCGGATGCGGTTGACTTTGGTGCAGAATTCTCTCTCGCCTAAGTAATCTGTCAGCCATGCGAGAAGTGCTCCAGAAACTCCCGCCTTGCCTATTTTGTGAAGGAGCAGACCATGGTGAACTGTGTCGAATGCTTTCGCAAAGTCGAGAAAGATCACGTGGGCTGGTACCTTTTTGTCCCAGGATAGTGTCCAATCGTTCCAGGCTAGTAGAAGATTCGTCACGCAGGATCTTCCCCTCCTGAAACCGTGCTGTGCTTCGTGAAGAAGGTTAGTCCCATCGAAGTATTTTCTCATGTGGTCGTCAATGAGACTTTCCAATATCTTCGATACCACTGGAAGTAGAGCAACTGGTCTGTAACTGGTCACATTCTGCCGGTCACCACCCTTGAAGATAGGGGATAGGATTGCACGTTTCCATTCACATGGAAGTTTCCCTACATCAAGGGAGTGTTGGAACAGATCACTTAGGGGTTGACAGAGACTTTCTGAACACTGCTTCAGGACAGATGGTCTGATGCCATCACAACCTGAAGACTTTCCCGAAGCCAACCTTCCCAATTTTGCAAGTACCATAGCCGGGGTAATTTGAAATGTCCCCAGCAGGTTTTCGTGTGTTGGTTTTGCGATGTAATCTGGATGTTCTGTAGGGGTAATATCCTCGTTACTATTTAGTTGCCTGTGAAAGGCTAGGCTGAATGTCTCTGCCATTTCAAGACTAGTAAGAGATTTCCCATCAGAACCCACTAGATTGCATGCTCCCTGGTTGGTCGGTTTTCTTTCGGACATAAACCTGTATAGGCTTTTGGGGTTCACGAGAAGCTTATTGGCGAGGTCTCCCTGAAATGTCCTTCTATCGCTCCGGACTCGTATGTTACATCGATTCCTGAGTTCAAGGTACACTTCATATTCGGGTTGACTCTTCGATCGTCGCCACGCGAACCAGGCTTTTCGCTTTGCCTGCAGAAGGCGTTGTGTCCCCTTTTCAGCCATGATCGTTGCTTCCTAGCTTTTGGTGAGACTAAAGGAACAGTGTCTGAGACCGCCTGGTGAATGATCTCCTTTACCACTCTCCAGTGTTCTTCTACTGTTAGCTCTGTCCATTTTTTAGGCCAATTTGCTTCAGACAGAAGTCTTCGCATTTTGGTGTAGTTGGCTTTGTTATAACACAGATAGGGCTGTGTATTGTCCCACTGTAAGCGCTCGCGGAGGACTATGTCGAATACTATGACCGCGTGGTCACTACTACCTATGGGAGTCGTGATCTGAACGTTTTCCACTAGTAGCTGGTCACTAGTGAGCACGTAATCCAGTCTAGAAGACTTCCCATCAGGGCCCCATCTAGTATCCATCTTGACATTTTCAGTGAATCCAGCCTTCCTGATGGTATGCAGCAGATTTCGATCAAATCTATCATGGGCTTTTCCCGACACCAAGTTAAGAGATGGGGCATTGAAGTCACCAGCTATGACAATTTGATCATAACCCATGTCTTGAGTTGCTGAGATTGTATTTAGCAGTACCTGGTTGTGGTCTGCTCCACATGAAGGTGATCGATAAATGCTGCCCACTAGATATTTGCAGTACCCAACGGTGAAGTGGCACCATATGGAGTCAGGGAGCTCTGTGAGGGGAGGGTCCATCGCGTGAACACATCTGAGCTGTTTGTCGACGTATATGGCGACTCCACCTCCTTCTTTCAGGTCCCTATCTCGCCTGACTAGGACCATATCATTTATACTGACTTCGCTGTCTGCCACCGTAGGGGTTAGCCAGGTTTCCGTCAGTATTATGATTTTGGAGTTTAGTTGTGATTGTAGGTGTCTAAGTTCAGCTATTTTGCCTCTTAGCCCTCTCACATTACTATACAGGCAACTGGTAGTCAGTCTCACCACTTCCCCGTATTGGGGGGTAGTTGACTTGATATTGGCTATCGGTTGAGGAGTTATCCTACGAACTAGTTGGCCGATTCCCCAGGAACCGGCCTGTTGGCGTTTTTTTCTTCTAGTTCAGTTGGAGCACTCGGATGACACTGGCTATCATCGTCCGTGCTGCACCGCTGTAGTGTGACTAGGGGTTGAGGATTTTTTTTACTACGCTTTGTTCTCTCCTTTGAGTGCGAGGCCGGCTCTCGCAGCAGCGAATGTGTTTGCTGACCTTGTCCTTGGTCTCGTACCATCTATGGAGAGCGGTAGTCAACTGGTCTTGGGAGCTGAACTTGACAGCTAACAGACGTGGCGAGTTAATTGACATAAGATGAGTGGGTCGAGGCAGTCTATAAATAGAGACAGCCCCTGAACTTCCCAGGGCCATCTGGGATGCTAACCATCTCCATTGTTGTACATCATGACAATGCTTTTCGCAGGCGTTCCCAGTTACCAGTTCGGGAATGCCATGCACAACCATGGAGGCAGAAGGAATGAGCTCTGGCGACTCCCTCGCCATTTGTCTTTCCTTCCACGGCCTGTCTGGCTTAACACGTATGTTACAGGCCCTCCCTATAGAAAGGACTTGAGAAGCCAGTAACACTTTTTCAACATCCTCGGTAGAGCCCAATGTTACCCTCAGTGGGGATGGTTTGCCTTCAGGTGCAGCAGTGCCCCTATACAATCTGCATAGATTTACTGGTTGGATGTCCAAACCCAGTGTGCTACACAAGATGGACCACTGTTCCTGATCAAATAGGGCCCTATCTTTCAGCAGACTACTGCTACAGTCTGGTACATTAAAGAGGATTACACAATTTGATCTGCTAACCGTGGGCTTGGGCTCGGTCCTCGCACGTTTGTGATCACCTTTAAGACCGTTTTGGTTTGACTGGTGCGACTGGGTATTTTTATGTGTCTCAGTGCTATAGCCAGCATTACTGGCAGACGGGGGGGTCTTTTTCCAACGACGGAAACCCGTGGTTCTCCAGCCTCTGTGTCTGGAGCGGTTATGGCAAGAGTTACAAGTTTAACCGGTGAGGATTTTGGTATCCCCGGTTTACGCGCGTTTGTACTAACTTCCGGATTGGTGGGGGTCGAGCTTTTCACCTTTTTCCCCGCTACTTCTGTGCCATCTTTAGTTTTCAAAGGACTACGCGAGGCTACATCAGGACGGCAACTCGGGCATATGTACCAGAACCATTGGCATGGGTTTTTACGCATAAAGTCATAATATGCTTTTGGTACCCCACTGTCGCATCTGCAATGCACCCATCGGTTGCAAAAGTTACATTCGAAAGCAGAGTCTGCTTGTTCGACAACAGAAGCACAGACCTTGCAGTCGTCTGTCTTCTTGGGGAGCGTTCTTGTCGTCTTGCGACGTCGTGAACGTTTCTTTTTGGCCTTCCTATTTGTTTCATGGTCTACCATGGGGATGGGTGTTATGAAGTTCTCACTTAGTGCAATTTTCCCACTCGGATCTGTTAACCTAGTCGTGTTAACAGGGGTGGAGCCACATCCACTTGGCTGACTTTGCACAGCTTCACTGTAGGACTGTGGCGACATGGGTAATCTGTACGAGCTGGGAATATTAGCCCTGGTCTTCAGGACCGGTATGCGTGAGTCCATCACCTTCTCCTGTTTGCCTAGTTTGGCTGAAGCCCTGGTAACTACAGAGTATGATGTCCCATTACTTATTTTAGGTTGAGAATCTATTGTCATTTTACTCCTAAATTAATACTGGTGATTAAATAATAAGAGACTGTTATTTTGTCCAATAGACTTACAGCAAAAGACAATAGAGAGCACAGAAAAGAAGGATAAAGTATTTAAGTAAAAGCTTTAGACTTTACCTGTAACTTTCGGGTTATTCGGTTTCACAGCAATCACGTAACAGACCCACAAGTCCTGTATATTTGAAAGAGTGAGGAGGGTGTTGCTACAGAAGTAGCACCTGAAGCTTTGGCAGTAGTTCGAGACAGCGGGAAGTACCACACACAGGCTCGGTGAGGAAGAAATGGTTGAATAAAATTCGCCGGATAGGAAGATCAGGTTTCCCAAACGAATAATTCACAAAATTGGATATTTCCGGTTAGAGAGGAAAAGCACGTCTTATTCAACGACCTGTTCTGCCTTCTCTCACTGTACCGACTACTCTATCTTTTCTTTAGGTCACCTTTATTATTTCACTTATCTCAACCCATATTATCTACACTACAACCTATTATTATCATTACTATTCTGCTTTTATGACTACACCGAATGACCAGCGGGAGTTAGGTCAAACTCCATTCACGGCAGCAACACAGTCCTAACATACTGCATACTACAAACCACATCTTGACCAATCCCCGCACCACTCCTCTTGGAGTCTACCAGAGCTAAAGCAGTCGAGTGGCGGGACTCACTACGCAGAAGCTCACCGAAGATCTGGAACCTCTACCTCACAATCAAGAAGCGAGCTCAAAGAAATCACTGGTTTATACTAGCTCGTAATCAGGATATTGGATATTGAAGTAGTTGGAGGAAATCTGTAGGAAGCAGACTCGACCAGAAGAATTTAATATGCACCGAAAAATAACTAGACACATTACACTAGTTGCTAGCTAGGGTTCAGTCAAAGTAACCTTGAGTCACCATAACACGATAATACCACCGCTAATCATGAAATGGTTTGAAATAAGTCTCAAGGATGCTGTTAATACATCAGTGAGTTATGCATATTTCCCTAATCAGATGTTAGGAGTGGCTGGCTTTGGTTAAAGAAATTAAGGACTTTATATATGCTGACGGTACAGCAACGAACATTCATGGAATGTCAGAAAATGAATTGAGTTTACTGATAGAACGGATAACGAAACACATAAACTCAGGTAATCCCTTGGATCTCGTTGAGCTGACTAAAATCATAAGTTCTATTTGGAAAATGCTGATGTTTGAAATGCTTTTCATTCGTCATCTGTGCATATTCAGATTCAGATTCAGATGATAAGGATAGAAGGCTCTTGTGGCCTGTGTTAATCCTTGCAAAGTATATCTCTGCAGAGATCTAACTTCTCTTTGAAAGCGTTCACCGATGGAGCTGATACTACTGAATCAGGTAAGGAGTTCCAATCGTTGACCACTCTGTGAGAGAATCTAAATTCTGCACGTATTTTAATCGTCCTTGGTTTGAGCACCTTTTTGCGGTGACCCCGTAAATGTATCCTAGAAGGGGAGAAAAGGTTAGAAAGGTCAGTTCCTAAATCACCCTTAAGTATACGGTATGCTAAAATTAAGTCGCCTCTCTTCCTTCGGTATGATAACGGGAAGAGATTTAAATGCTCCATCCTCTTATCATAAGGAAGGTGTGAGATACCACTAACTAATTTTGTTCCTACTCTCTGTACTCTTTCCAGAATATGTGCCTCCTTTTTGAAGCATGGACTCGTCGCTTGTATGCAGTATTCTAGATGAGGCCTGACATATGTTGCGTAGAGTATTTGGAACATGCCCTCGTCTAATCGTTTGAAAGCCCTTCGAATTGCCCATAGCATTCGAAAAGCTTTAGCTGCGGCTGCATTGCAATTTGCAGTTGTTTTCAAATCGTTGCTGACAATGATTCCTAGGTCCTTCTGTTCTTTAACATCAGGTAGTTCTGCATCCCCTAGGGAGTACGACGTATAAGACTTCTGACCTAAGTGCATTACCGCGCTTTTCCTAGCATTCATTTCCAAACTCCATAGGCTTGACCACTCAGCTAATTTATCTAAGTCATTTTGTAGGGCCAACCTATCCTCGTTATTGTTTACAGTTTTCCATACCTTAATGTCATCTGCAAATAATAATGAAGATGAAGAAAGAATCCCTGGTAATTCGTTAACGTATAATAGGAATAGCAATGGACCTAATACAGTTCCCTGGGGCACTCCACTGGATACTGCTTTCCATCCTGATAGTACACCATTAACTCTAACCTTCTGCCTTCTATCCATTAAGTAATCTCTAAACCACTCACATAGGCATTGGTCTAGTCCGAAACCTTTCAGTTTACTAAGGAGACCTAAGTGGGATACTTTGTCGAACGCCTTGCTAAGATCAATAAAAACCACGTCCAACAGATGGTCCCTATCTCTGGCCTCAACCCAGTCTTCCCTAGCCAATAGTAGGTTTGTCAAGCAGGATCGTCCTGGTCGGAATCCATGCTGTTCCACAGCCAACAAGCCATGTGTTTCAACATAAGCTAATAGTTGATCCCTTATAATAGTTTCCAGTACCTTTGCAATAATGCATGTCAGACTTACCGGCCTGTAGTTAGATACCAATTGCCTATCCCCGTCCTTGAAGATAGGGCTTATAATGGCATCCTTCCAGTCCCTGGGTAGCTTAGCCTGCGTCAGAGACATTTGGAAAATCTCCGTAAGCGGAATATATATTATATCCGCCAAGGAAAGTAACAACTTAGGGTGGAGTCCATCCGGCCCAGGTGATTTACCTGGCTTCAGTTTAGACAGTAGTTTCAGAACCTTTGTGTGCTCTACCACAATTGAGGGCATCTGAGTGGCGATGGCAGTGACCTCGCCATATCCCTGGGTGGTACTATCAGACGAGAAGACGTCACAGAAGTATTCAGAGAGGTTTTCAGCCTTCCCTTCGTCTGACTCAGCCGCTTCTCCACTAATGGTTATGAGTGACGGTATACCACTGCTAGTTTTAGTCCTACGTTTAATATACGAGTAAAACCTTTTTGGGTAATGAACGCAATCTAGTACTAATCGTCTCTCGTACTCTATACGACTCTTGTTAATCGCATACTTACAGAGGTTTCGAGTTTTGCGGTAGTCTTTCTGGAAGTTTTCCCTTCCTGTCATAACAAATTGGTCCCATAAGTTCTTTCGCCGTCTTAATAACCTCCTTATTTCACTAGTGATCCAAGGAGGTTCATGCGACGGCTTTCGAGGAGTGTACCAAGGTATAAAAGGTGAAGTGACACGATCTAGTGTATTCCTAAATCCTACCCAAGCTTCCTCGACAGTCTGACTTGTATCAACTGACCAGTCAACCACAGTTGCTGCGTTCCGGATTCCTTGTATATCCGCTTTCCAAATGTTTGGACGAGCAGATTTTGGCCTGTGCATGAGAGAATGAATCCTAAACGTAAAAGCAATGACTATGTGGTCACTGCTGCCAAGCGGCGGGAGGCACCTAATGTTACCAACGTCCTCCTTCTGGTGTGTCAATACCAAGTCTAGAGTAGATGGATCATGTTCAGGGTGATACCGTGTTGGTGCATGCATATGTTGCACGAGTGCACATTCAAGCACTGTCAATGTGAGCTCCCTATTGAAACAGGTATACAAACTAGTGGAGTTTAATTCCCCCCAATTAATATGTGGAGCGTTAAAGTCGCCAACAATCAGACACCTATTTCTACTACCCCACGCCCTCAAGTGATTTAGAACGAAGTCATCAGCTTGGCTAGCAGGACTTCTGTAGATAACTCCGATCGTTAAAGTGCCTTTGTTTAAGTTAATGATGCAACTTGCGGCTTCACTGGTGCCGCTGTCATGAGCTTCTGACAACGTTGACCTGATCCCTATGTCATCCCGGATGTAAAGAGCAACCCCCCCACCTTTCCGACTACTTACTCTGTCTGCTCGTATGCAGATATACCCAGGTATGAGTGGAGTTAAGTCTACACCCACTAACAACCACGTCTCAGTGATAGCAATTACATCAGGTTGTAGTCTTTCAGATAACTCTCCTAATTCGGCGAGCTTATTCCTAAGACTACATGCGTTCGTATAGCACACCGAAACACCTACGTGTTCACCCGGCTTATGAAGAGAGGTCTCGGCAGCATCGGTTTCCGAGACCTCACCACCCGAAAACCCAATAGTTTGAGGTCCTTCTCGCCTTTCTCTAGCCTGGCCTTTAGTTCAGCCACGGCTTCTCTTCTTTTGATTCTATCTTCCAAAGGCCAATCAGGCCTTATTTTTAGACTTTTGTCGTTGACTTTGAACGCGTTGTCGAGGATGGTCCTCCTCTCTGTTTCGTTCCCTAAAACTACCTTAAGTAGTCGTCGAGGAGTTCCTGTAGCATCAGGGTTTCGTTTTCCGATCCTGATAGCCTTTCGTACGTGTACTCCAGTTGTTTTTTCGGGAAGTATTTCCCGGAATATGGAGCTGATCGCCTTCAGATCATCTGCATGTCGGGCAGCTGGATCTGTGTTCTTAGATTCCTCCAAGTTCCAGATGATAATACTGTAACTAGAGTCCGTGGGTTTCTGAGTTTTGCTGGAACTAACAGTCGTCGAGACCTTGTTGGTAAACTCGGCTACTGTTTCTTTCCTAGTTTTGTTTAGCTTCTTACCTTTCGGCAGCAACCAAGTGGAGTCCGTTTCTCCCACTCTGTTTTCGCCGCGACTAGAAGCCATTCGTGCACTAGACACGCTGCGCTTTGGCGTTGCTATTTCACAGGCTGGTTTTGCCATGCTGGCACTACTTGCCCTTCTGGATTTCCGTTGCCTTTTGCGCTTTGCAGCAACAGATGTCTGGGCATTTTGTGCTTCTTTCGCTTCTGAGACTTCAGGAGGTGATGCACCCTGAATCTTACAACTATGTCCTGAACCGCCATCCTTGGCGAAGGTTTCTGGTACAGGCTTTTCAACTATGTCTTTCGACAATTTCTTGGACATCAAGAGTCCTACTGCCTCTTGGATGAGGACATCTAACGGGTTGCTGCAAAATTTGCACAGCCATGGAGATGATGGCTTGCAACATCTCTTATAGGCTACTGGTGTTAAACCAGTGCAAACTTTGTGGAACCAAAGGCTGCAGTTGTCACACTGCATCCCATCATCCACCGGAAAGTGGCAGTCCGGTCGACCACAATTGTTAGTTGGGGCCATAATTTTAATTTGTTACAACTATACAGTTATATATACGTCAAAACAGTGAGGTTAATGCCAAACAAATACACACTTATATATACGTGTGACAGCTAGGTAAATACCAACCAAAACACAAAATGTGAATAAAACAGACAACACTTGAACTAAATAAATCAGTTAAAGTGAACTAAAAGCTTCTGATGTGGTTTAAACAACAAAAGCAGAATTTACTTCACAACGTAAAAAATGCCACTCTCCTTTTTCAAAGGGCAGACCATAAGGATAGAGGGCTCATGTTGCCTATGTTAATCCTTGTAACATACATCTCTGCGGAGATCTAGTTTCTCTCTAAAAGCGTTTACTGATGGCGCTGTTACTCCTGCATCAGATGAGAAGTTCCTAGAAGGAGAGAAAAAGTCTAAAAAATAAATTTATGAATCACCCTTTAATATCCAAGCTAGCATTTTCTTCGAGCGCATTGCAGAAATCGGGACAATGACCCGAAGTCAGCCTTAGAAATTCTGCAGTGCGCCCGAAGTCAAGGCTAGCTAGGATACGGTAAGGCAAAATTAAGTCGCCTCTCTTCCTTCGGTATAATAGTGCGAAGAGATTTAAATGCTCCATCCTCATTTCATACGGAAGGTGTGAGCTATCACTAACTAATTTCATTTCTACCCTTTGTACTCTTTCCAGGATGTGTGCCTCCTTTTTGAAGCGTGGACTCACCGCTTGCATGCAGTATTCTAGATTGGGTCCGACAGATGTTGCATAGAGTACTTAGGACATACCCTCGTCTAATTGTTTGGAAGCCCTTCGAAATGCCTATAGCGGCTCTATTACAGTTTGCCGTTGTCTTTAAGCAATGACTTACAATAATCCCTGAGTTTTTTTCGCCTTAACATCTGGCAGTTCTGTGTCCTCCAGCGAGTACGACGTGTAAGACCTCTGACCTAGGTGCATTACCGCGCTTTTCTTGGAATTAATATCCAGACTTTAGAGGTT